CATTTTCTCTCAATTTTTAAGCTTTTGTGGAATTTAAATTTGGTTTACCTTAAATACTGATTTTTTTTTTTTATGTTATTAACTTACATTAATCACAAACAATTTGAAACAGAATATTTAATGTACATCTAGATGTACTGTTAATTAATCCTGATGGTATTGTTAGCCAGTACCCAACTTTTTTCTTTTTTTTCCCTTCATAATCAACCATTCTGGGAGAATACCTCTATTTAGTTTCATTAGGATGATTTTTTTTGTTGTAATGAAAATGTTTTCTAATTTCTGTTAAGATAAAACACAATAGTAATAAATCATTCCTTTATTAAACTACTCATCTTGTCCTGAACTTTTGTTATCAGCTGAGGTACTTGTAGTTTCATTTCTTAACAGGGGAGGTTATTTATCAACTGAGGTACTTGTAGTTTCATTTTCCAACAGAGAAGGTTATTTACCAGCTGAGGTAGTTGTAGTTTCATTTCTTGACAGGGAGGTTATTTATTAGCTGGGATACTTGTAGTTTCATTTCCCAACAGAGGAGGTTATTTACCAGCTGAGGTAGTTGTAGTTTCATTTCCCAACAGAGAAGGTTATTTATCAGTTGAGGTACTTGTAGTTTTATTTCCCAACAGAGAAGGTTGTTTATCAGCTGAGGTACTTGTAGTTTCATTTCTTAACAGAGAAGGTTATTTATCAGCTGAGATAGTTGTAGTTTCATTTCTTAACAGAGAAGGTTATTTATCAGCTGAGGTACTTGTAGTTTTATTTCCCAACAGAGAAGGTTGTTTATCAGCTGAGGTACTTGTAGTTTCATTTCTTAACAGAGAAGGTTATTTATCAGCTGAGATAGTTGTAGTTTCATTTCCCAACAGAGAAGGTTGTTTATCAGCTGAGGTACTTGTAGTTTTATTTCCCAACAGAGAAGGTTATTTACCAGCTGGGGTACTTCTAGGTTTGTTTTTCTTTAAGTTATTATCATCTTTTGTTTAATAACTATGTACGTATTCCTGTAAATTTAGTCTTGGTCATTTCCCGTCATCAAACTATTAGTGCTACATGTGGTCCTTTGCTGGGAATCTATAGGTGATGCTCTTGTATTCTCTGCTTTTGTAAATGTAAGAGCTTTAATATCTCATCAGTTTAAGAATCCAATTAACTCATCAAGGGCTTGGGTCTAATTTTCTGTGTATTCCTTTCTTCATGGGACATCTCAAGTTGGGGTTCAACCATCTATCTTTACACAAGTTTTCTTAGCTCACAACTGGTTGGAAGCAAGCAAAATGAACTGAACAAACAAAGTACGAAAAAGAAACTATTATTCAACAAGATGAGAATAATGTAGAACCAGAAAGATGGACTCTCATAAAACTGCTCAGTGGACAAATCTCAGAGATTTCTTTAAAAATCAGCAGTAAGATTAATCTTCATGGAAGGAGGTGTAAAAGATTATCTACACGAAATGTTTAAAACACAACAAATTCATTGTCATAAAAATTGATAATATATTGTTAGAACCAATGGATAGATTGATCAGAATGGTTTTATTATTGAGAGACAAAAACCGAGTCTACTAACCTCTATCACCTGTGATCATTTGATGGATCCACAATAAACCACTAAGCAACATGTAAACTCAATCACAACATGCTAATTCAAGAACCTATTCGTGTACAAATAGAAAAATCCTTTGTATACTTTTACTCAGTAATTTTAATAATTTTTGAGAATTAAGACGAGTTATATAGTTTAAATAGTATTTTACAGACATCCACAATGGTTTGTAGATTTATATGATCAAATTAGCAAAGTCTTGAGAACAATGGACAAAAATATTGATGTAGGTGCAAAATGCGATGCAATTAGTTAGTGGGAGAGTGGAGTTCTAAATCAAGGGTATTTTCCAATAAAAATAAACCAGATTTAAAAGTGAGTTATTTTGTTTTATAAAGCCAAGTGTTTTGAATCAAATAAAATCTTTTTGAACTTACTTTTAGACAAAACTTTATATACTTTAAAAACATATGAAACTCTTTGATACTTTGTCGTTTGAGGTGAGTTTTATTTTAAGTGCACAACCATATTGTGTCTATTTTCTAATACACCTTAAGTATAGATGACAGCCTTGTTAGTTTGAGTTCAAGTGAAATCAAGTCTTGTTATTTTAGCTTTGGCCTAAACATATTCTGGTGAAATCTTACTTACTAGCTCTGCTAAAATGTTTTTTTAAATTGTGAAATTAGCAGCAGCCTTGAACTCAATCCATTTGCTATACTTTATATTCAGCCTAAAATTTTTATCTTTTTAAAATAACCAAATATTTTCTATAGTAGTCACATAGTTTAACGTACAGCCTATTCTAACAATTATATACTAGTACTTCAGTTTAGACGTCCATGTTCAAGGGTGACACCAGTTAAACCAGCTTCTTGCCCTGTTAAACTATTAGGTCTTCAAGAAATTAATGTTGCATTTTTGGAACACTTTCATTAACCACCCCCCAAAAATGTTCATCACGTATAATAGTTAAATGAACCATCTAAACGTCATGTTGGTGTAGCCTGTATAATGTGTAAAGTTTAGTATACTCTAATCCATTATATTGATGGCACACGACGAGACACACATTCGGTGTGTAATGCTGTTTGAATACAAGAAGTGAAACAATGCCTCTGTAGCCACAAAGAATATCAAAGAAGTTTATGGAAATGTTTGAACGTTCGTAA